TCTTCCCGGTAAGCGCACCTTGGGGTGCTTACACACATTATTAGAAATGGGCTAGTCCAGGTGCGAGAATTAGCCTGTAAGGGCTAGAGTTCATGGGCCAAGCAGTTCTTTAAATGAATACAGTTTGTGTGTTGTTATTTCGGGCATGAGCTAGCCAAGCGGCCGGGGTGTTGGGGACGTAACCCCGCCGCCGCTCCTTATTTCAACACCTTTACCCTGATGTCACAGCTGAGGTTCCTGTGGCCCCGACATGGTGTGACTGCAGCTTCACAGAGAAACAAAAGAGGATACGTGAAGTGTGCTCACGCGTGATTCGTTTCTCCGTATTTCACAGCGCTCAGTCGCGTGTGCTATTCAACAGGGTCATACTGTGATGTCACTCCTTCAGTTCTGATGGGCCAGCTTTAAGTGCCTTTTAACTTGCCATTCTTGCTTCAGCTGGTTAAAGTGTCGTGTGTGTACGTGTGCATGCATGTGTATGCGTGTACACAGGTGCCTGCAAACGTTAGAGGTGTCTGATCACTCTGGAACTGGAGTCACAGGTGGTTGCGAGCTGCCTGATGTGGGTGCTAGGAATTGAACTTGGGTCTTCTGGAAGGACAGCATGTGTTCTGAACTGCCGATTCATTTCTTCAGTCTCCTTTTATGGCATGATCAATAAAAAGCCAGAGACAGATACTGGGGTTCAGCCTGAAGGTCAGAAAAGCAAAGCAGCCAGCCACTGGCTCTTACCTCTACCTCAGTCCAGAATGCCGATCCTGCCTCCAGGAATCTCAGAATGAGACCAAGTCTGAGAGCTGTCTCCTCCTGTTTTATATTCCTCTCTAATGCTGGGATTAAGGGTGTGCACCACTACCACCTGGCTTCTGTGGCAAACTAGCGTGGCTACTGGGATTAAAGGTGTGTGTCACCACTGCCTGGTCTGTAAGGCTGACCAGTGGGGCTGTTTTACTGTCTGATATTCAGGCACGCTTTATTTATTAAAATACAAATGAAATGTCACTACATCTTTTAAGTTTTTTCTTTTTTGAGAAAGAGTCTTACTGTGGCCTTGAACTCAAAGAGGGCTTAGACTGGTATTAAAGGCACAAACCACCATAGCCCACTCTTTTTAAGTCATTTGACAAGATAACACCTTTCAGCCCCAAAGCTGCCCTTGATTAAAGGTTGGTTGTTGCCTTTTTTTTTTATTTTTCAAGACAGGGTTTCTCTGTAGTTTTTGGAGTCTGTCCTGAAAATAGCTCAACCAGGCTGGTCTCAGACTCAGAGATCACAGTGCTTGGATTAAAGGCGTGTGCCACCACTGCCCTGCTAAAGTTGCTTTTTAAATTTTTCTATAATAAGTGCTTCAGTTAATAATGTTATTTAGGCAAAATTATGTGGCTGATTTCGTCTCAGAATGGAAGTGGAATATGTTTAGCTATGCGATGAGGACTGCAGTGCAGGCCAACAGTGCAGTATGTTTTCCTTGAACCTACCACAGGTTGCTAACCTTTCCACAGGCAGCCAGGATGAAGAACGGTGTGCAAGGGGCTCAGTGCAAATTACACCAACCACATTCTCATGGCGCTCTCTCTATTCAGAACTATTTCTATTTTGTATGGTTGCCTAACGTTTTTACTCTCCTTTTGTTTGAAAAAAGGAATAGATTGTTTTCAATCTACTTAATATTACATTTTATACCTTTAGCGGCTACAAGACACACCAGGAAATGTCACTGCAGACAACGAGGAAGAAGAAGCGGAAGGCAGCTGTCTTACTGCAGACCTCAATAAGTAAGTCAGCGAACGCTGTGGTGACGACTCCAGACTCCGTGCCGAGAACTGAGTTCCACAGGGGAGCCTGGAAGGGGCAGCAGGAGCAGGGGCAGGGCCCGGCTTAGCCACTGTTAGAAGCCCATCTCCAAGGACACAGCTGAGACTAAGGGCTAAGGGCTAAGGGCCTTGCTCTGCCCGCTTCCCTGTGCTCAGCCACGTTCTTCTGCTGCCCAAGACAGCACCAAACTCTGCTGGTAGTGACAGGTACTGTTGAGTGGATGGTGATTCCCAACCATATTATTTCTCTGTGGGGAATCCAAACTAAATGTCTTTATGTATAAAACATATAATTTAAGCTTACCTTGATTCTATGTTGACATTTGAATTCATGAATGAGGCCAAGTAGTGGTGCACACCTTTAATCCCAGCACTCAGGAAGCAGAGGCAGGTGGATCTCTGTGAGTTGGAGACCAGCATGGCCTACAGAGTGAGTTTCAGGTCAATCAGAGCTATACAGTGAGATCCTGTCTCAAAAAAAACAAAAACAAAACAACAACAAGAAGTCAGGACTAAATAGTTGAATGGAGTTTTTTCATTCTCACAGGGAAGCTTTATTGAAAATCTTATGCATCTTCAATAGTATAAAGCTATTCTTTTATCAATCAAGCAAAGTCCCAAACATTTTCATCCAAGTTGTTTAATCATATATGTATACTATCATTGGAAACTTCATTCCAAATCCTAAATTTCTATTTACTTTGAAAGGATTTTTTTTTGTTTTTGTTCTTAGTATTTTTTTAAAGATTTATTATGTACACAGTGTTCAGCCTCCATGTATGCCTGCAGGCCAGAAGAGGGCACCAGATCTCATTACAGATGGTTGTGAGCCACCATGTGGTTACTGGGAATTGAACTCAGGACCTCTGGAAGAGCAGTCAGTGTTCCTAACCACTGAGCCATCTCTCCAGCCCCTGTTCTTAGTATTTTTTTAAAGTTGCTACTGTATTAGTCTAAAGTGTCTTTGAAGACGTATTAAAAGCATTCAGTGCCGACAGCTGCAAAGCCATGCCCAGGGAGAACAGCTCGGTCTCTCCTGTGTCTATGCTCCACTCTTGTTACAGGTGTTCTGCCTACTGAAGTGACCATTGACTAGGGATGTCATCAGCTAGCTTGTCTTAGCTTCTTTGGCAAATATCACTTTATTATTTAAAGTAGAATGCCACAAAGTGGGGTGTTTGTCTCCTCTATTTTAGTTCCTACAAGTTAAGTAAAGGCCACCCCAGCACCCAGTGCTTTAAAATGGAACACCACGCTCTGCAGCCAGAAGATCTGGGATACACAGAGCAAGGGTGCTAGCCCAAGGTGTTTGTACAAGTGTTCCAACTCTCAGACTTTAAAAAAGAATTTTGGTATATTTGCATAAACATACTGAGATATCTTAGGGATGGGACCCAAGTCTAAACAAAATTTATTTATGTTTTCTTACATATTTTAATTGATTAGGATAATTTTAATTCAAATAATAAGGTCCAAAGTCTATAGGCAATACTCTAAAACACAGTAAAGACAGCTTGTTGGCATGCAGTGGTTTCTTCAGTGAGAGCAAAGACTCCAGAAATTTCCACATAATTCTACACATGTTCCCTGCTCTTTTAGACGTCCTTACTAAAAAGAAGATACGGTAGACAGGAAAGGAACTGGTGTGAGTTGTGTGTATCTTTTGTTTGCGACCTGAGGCAATGTTACTCTTTTTTAAATAGTGTGTTCATAAAACAAGCCTCGTGGTAACGAAGTTTTCCATTTCTCCTATCATCTTGGTGTTCAAAAGGCTATGGGCATTCTGGAGTTCAGATTTCCAAATAAGGAATTTTCAGCCTTGTCTTGGTCCAGTGCCTAAAATCCTGATGGAGACTGAGTTAGTGTTTCCTGAAATAAGGGGTAGGAGACCAGAACAAGGAGCCAGACGGTGGTGGTGCGTGTCTCTCATCCTAGCAGAGGCAGGTGGATCTCTGAGTTTGAGGCCACTACAGAGTGAGTTCCAGGACAGCCAGGGCTACAGAGAAACCCTGTCTTGAAATCCCTCCCCCTCCCCCGAAAAAGGAAAAAGAAGGTAAGAATAAAGCTTTTTACAGTCTGTGCAGATCTATAAAATCTATAGAAATAGGGCATACTCGTTACAGACTTGACCTACCAGACAAGTTTTATGTACCTCCTGAATTAAAATTTTAATTACGTGAAGCTGGGAGCTATGACCCTCAAAGTATTTTAACTAAAGTCTCTGTTTTTACTGTAGGGTAGCTTTGTCAGAAGAGGAAGAAAGCGGTGAGAGAAAACCAGGTAAGATGGCAGACGCCTTCCCCTGAAATGGCTACATTTTAATGTCAAAATAATTTGTCACTTTTTTCTTTTTCCAAAAGTTTTTATTTTTATTTTTTATTACTTTATAAATAATACCATTTAAAATTTCTATTTCCTCCCCTCCGCACACTTCCCTCCTGTTCCCCCATTCCCTTCCCCTCCAGTCCTAAGAGAGGGCAGAATACCCTGCCCTGTGGGAAGTCCAAGGCCCTCCCCCCTCCATCCAGGCCTTGGAAGGTGTGCATCCAAATAGAATAGGATCCAAAAAAGCCAGTACATGCAGTAGAGACAAATCTCACTGCCATTATTATTGGCTTCTCAGTCTGCCCCAATTGTCAGCCACATTCAGAGGGTCCAGTTTGATCCCATGCTTGTTCAGTCCCAGTCCAGCTGGGTTTGGTGAGCTCCCATTAGATCAAGCACACTGTCTCAGTGGGTGGACCAACACCTCGTGGTCCTGACTTCCTTGCTTATGTTCTCCCTCCTTCTGCTCTTCAACTGGACCTTGGGAGCTCAGTCCAGTGCTCTGATGTGGGTCTCTGTCTCTATCTCCATCTGTCGCCGGACAAAGGTTCTATGGTGATATTCAAGATAGTCATCAGTCTGATGACAGGACAAGACCAGTTCAAGCACCCTCTCCTCCACTGCCCAGGGTTCTGGCTGAAGACATAACCGTGAACACCTGGGATCCCCTCTAGAGCCAAGTCTCTTGCCAACGCCAAAATGGCTCTGTCAATTAAGATCTCTCCTCCCTGCTCCCATATCCGCCCTTCCTCCGTCTCAACCATCCCATTCCCGCAAGCTCTCCCCAACACTCCCCTTCTGCCTTCTCTCTCCCCTTCCTCCAAACCCACTCCCATGCTCCCAACTTTTTAGTCTGCTTCCAATTTCCAGGAGGATCTATAGATGTTTTTCTTTGGGTTCACCCTATTAACTTCTCTAGGATCATGAACTATAGGCTCAATGTCCTTTGTTTATAGTTAAAATCCACTAATGAGTGAGTACATACCATATTCATATTTTTGGGTCTGGGTTATCTCACTCAAGATAGCATTTTTTATTTCCATCATTTGCATGCAAAATTCAAGATGTCATTTTTTTTAACCGCTGAGTAGTAAGTACTCTAATGTGCATATATTCTACACTTTCTTTATCCATTCTTCCATTGAGGGGCAGAGTGTGCTTTGAGTCCTTTTAGTTTTGGTTTGTCAGCTGCAGTCTTTGCTTTGTGGATTATATTAAGACTTATGTTTAAAAGATGCAATATTGTAGTAGTCACAACTCAACACTGATTACAAAGAGTGAAAATACTAGTTTCCAAAAATCTTCTAGAAGCTGGAAAGGTGGCTTAGAAGTTTTAAGAGCACTTACTGGTTCTTTCATAGGACCTGGGTTTGGTTTCCAATACCCAACATGGTAGCTCACAGATAAAGGAACACACACACAGATATATATATGTATATATATATATGTATATATATATATATTAGGCAAAACATTCATATACATCAACATTAAAAATCTGAAATCGAAGCCAGGCAGTGGTGGTG